CTCATGACTTTGGTGAAGATATATAAAGTGGCGATAAATGTACAGTGGCAATAGTGGTAAACGTCAAAACAAAAAATTTTCCTTACATTTTTGAAATTATAATTCCGGCTGCGTGTGGGGTTGCCAGAATGCAGCGTTTGGCGTAGTAGTACATTGTTGTTGTTGTAAACTGCTTGTCTGAGGAAGTCTGACTCTGGTCGGACGAAACGTGACAGAAATACATTTGTGTTAGTGTGCAGCTGGACTCTTTAATTGAATAGAATAGTCATGTTTATTCCAGCTACAGTATCCTTGCAGTATACGCATACGGATCCACTAGCATAAAGGCATAGAGAAAAGATAGGAAGTTAGTCTCGCGCAACCCAACTCAAATTTTTTTTTTAGAATTGATAAAAAACAAAACCCTTCATCTCCGAAAGAGATAAGACGTTGCAAGAAATGAACAGATCAATTGCATTGTTATGTCATACACGATGTCAGAGCGGTTCATTATAATAGTTAGTTACTGTTAGATTTATTTAAGAGCGGTTTTATCAATTTTTATCACTGATATGTTAGCATTTTATTTTATTCGTGCCTTGGCGGGTCATGAATAAAACGTTTATATACAGTTTAGTCTCTATCTATGGTACTTTATCAGTAAGTGGGTAATATTGTTTAGTTTTGCGCATCGTGAACAATTATAAACATAAGGAGTGCCATATTTTCTAAGCTCTTTCTAAATATTTTGTTAATAAACGACCAGACATTATTTGCGTCGTTTCACCACAGAAAATGTATGACTGGATACGTTAGTTGATTGTCAATAAACGACCAGACATTATTTGCGTCGTTTCACCACAGAAAATGTATGACTGGATACGTTAGTTGATTGCACCTAGCAAAAGAAGAAATGGATATCAAAAGGTTATGTTTTATTTTTTCCGGTGTAAATTTGCTGGTAATTGGGATGTTTATTTATTCATTCCCACAAATGCACCGATATATCTACGTTAAAAAGGATTCCGATGCCAGACCCCTAACGTTCGATGTTAATACTAATAGCGGGGAGTTGAATTGGTTGGCAGCTGGGAGGTTTCAAGAAAGATTAAAGCACAAAAGAAATGTTTGCAAAACCGCCAAATACCAGTGAGTACATCATTTTTTAATTTATGAATTTTTTCTATTCTGAAAAAGTTACAATGAAAACTGGCAGTCGGTCGTATACAATGTTATGAATGTGACGAAACAGCAAATTTCGACTGATGGATAAATTTATAAAATATGAAATCTATCAGAAAGTCGTTTAACTTTTAAATAATGTATTGATCAAACTAAACTTACTAAAATATTAATACGAAAATTAAGCATAAGTCTTGATAATTTGATGGTATGATAGGAAAAGTGGGCCTATCCCTATACTGCGCGTTCTTCTCAAGTACTATTAATTGGAGTAAATCCCAACTGACTCCTTCGAAGGTCAAATACGCACACAAGGATTGTAATGCCAAATATCGGTATATTGTAAAGTTGCACAACCAAAAAGAATTGTTCCAAATAGCAGGTAATGAAATAAATTATAAACATTAAAATAAGTATAAGGTTGAAATACGAATTACGAACTAGAAAAATGAAACAAAAGCAGGCGAGGATGAGCAAAATACCTCACCAATTTCTTGACATAAGAGGTTTGCATTGGATAAAACCAAAATTGCTCAAAGATATATTACACTTTTCTTTCAGAAAAACCTTGAAGAGTAATTTATTTTATTTGCTGGATATACCTAGAAGATATATTATGTGCGCACCCTTCAAATCTGGGAGTTCATCCTGGCATCATACATTTTGGGCTATGCGAAGGAAGAGAGCAAACTTGAGCATGGATTCGACATATTTTACGCATCTAGATTGGCAAGGCAATCAAGGTAGATCATTCCACATATCTGTTGAAGACGGAGTAAAACTTATCACTTCCGTTCCAGGTGATGATGATTTTAATCGGGAGCCTCCACCGGGATCTAGTTTCAGAATAATATTGGTAAGCTGTCCTTGACACTAAATTGTTGTGCTAACTTGAATTGGAGATAAATGATAAATTAGATATTACATTATGTACAAATCATTGCGACACGTTAGAATAATTTATTAGGCATCCACCAAAAATATGGTAATGAGTTAATTGATATTTTACATTTGGTTCTGTGTAAATAACATAAGTTAATTTATTGTTTCTACAGCATCCATATGTTAGTGAACAATCAAACATGATACACAACAAAAATTCTCATAACTTGAACAATCAAATAATAGCGGGATTGTTAGGAGGTTGATATAATGCTAGAAATAATCTGAAATTCCAAATTCTTCAAAATTCAGTCATACTACGCATTAATTAAATGCATAGACAATTTTTGGACCTTCTGAATTATGCGCACCAAGATGGCGCACAACCTTAACTCAAGTTGTGTACCAAGTTAGGGTTCAGGTTATGCGATATCTTGTTGCGCGTACTTCAGGAGCACCCATTTTTCAATGCCTATTTTCTGCGTATTAATATTGATTTCGATAGTTTGTGTCGATAAACTTTAAACATTCAGAAGCTAACTTAATAGGTCACTAATTGGTTCTTACAGTACAGAATACAAATATAATTTGCTATTTAACGCAGCCTAATGGTCATCAATTAAATACTTGATTGTATAAAAGTTGATTTGTACAATAAAAAAAAATGAACATCAAAAAACGATATTATTTACGACGACAGATTCGTGATTTCGGTCACTTATATTTGTTTAGCAAACTGCGCATGCTTTGTTGATTTAATATAAATCTTAATAAAAAACATTTATGAAGGTATGATATAATGGTGGCCTGACAGACAAAATATTCGATATATTATACCTTGTTTGACTGGTAAACAACTTATAGTGAATTCCAAATACAAATTGAGAATATTGCTAAGGAGTATCAAATCTTAAACGTCAAATTTGCTTCTATATAATACTTAAAGTTTTTTTTTGCTTTCACCTCCTACATGAGGTGGGCTTCGAATTTTTCAAAGTCAACCCTGCAGAAATCCACCGATAATAATTGGTAGTCCGATGATGACGTAGTACTGAGAACTAGTCGCCATAATTTTACAATAGGTTAAATGCAAATATAGCGTTCTATGTTCTTATTTAAAACCGTATGCTAGTTCTACTGGGCGTTGCATTTGGCAAACGCTGCAGTGGTTTAAATACATACCAATATTTTTGAATAATATCGTTCGTTGCAATATTAGAAATGACAGAGATGTCAGAAACCTAATAAATAGGGGTTCAAAAATATATACACGATCTCTGTGCAGGACCTATCGTTGTAACATATTTTCAAGTGAAATAACGCATACTAGGCTATTTTTCCTCTCAAATTCTAGATTTCATACTTTATATGGGGTTTGTAGGCTTTTCTGATTCTGTGACAACACCATATGTTATATGTCCTTATATGAATTCCCTAAGCATGAAACCAGAAGAAAACTATAGGTCAAACTTGCTTAACTAACCTGTTGTGATGTCTCCACAGAACTCAAAGAAAACCTCTAATTTGAAACGACCTTCCAGCCTGAAGGTTATGTTGAAGTCCACGCTGCAAACTCATGCTCCAACCTCCAAAACAACAATACCTGAAGCAGTTCGTCAAATCGAGTTTTTATTCATTGATTTTTAACATTTTCTGGTTTATGACATTTCCCCAGGCGACAAGTTTCCATATGGGATATTCATTCATGTCAATAAATGTTTCCTCGCGAATCTCCATTAATTGCTATCCCGTGTTATAAATATTACATTGACCTTAAAATGTGTGCTTTGTTATTCAAGGGATTTCACCCCATACAAGCCTTTGTGTGAGCATCCACTAATATGCAAGGGTCAACTTTATTTTCATGAGGGACCCAATTCCCCTTATCATGGAAAGTATGCAGGATTGTACGGGAATGTTATCTTTTCATATATGAACTGATCAGTTCAATGTGTACCGGTTTGAGACAGCTGGACTGTGTTGTTAATAGCAGTGTCAACTGAAAACATTTAGCATACACGGTATATTGATGGAATAAATGGCATACATAGGATAATATCACAAGATAGATTAGTTATGCTCAGCATGCAACATTGTCTTGTTGCATAATAATGTGGAATGAATAAAAATTTGGAATAATGCTTCATCAAGACACTAAACCATTACTGGGATTCCACGTATACCTGGTATCGGTAAATTTACCAATTTTTACAGCCCAGCTCAAGTTACAACTCCTAACATGTGTTACTAACATTCAGGGCTGCAAGATCTTCACATTATATTTAAGACACTCCAGTATTCAAATATTTAACGACAAATGATTCTTTGGCTGATAAAAACATGAAATGCATGAAGCATGCTAGTCTAAAAGTGGTTTATATACAGTGTGACTTGATAGCATCATACTTTGACTAAATATTGTATCAAACAAAGAAAACAAAATTAAACAAGAAACGAAACAAAGTGGTAAAAGCTGACTCTAAAATCAATTCGTCAAACTGTCAAAGAATACTGCCAGACTGTCAGTACGGTTATGTTCAATGCATAAAACGTCATTGCTTCATTGTCCTACAGTCAGGGCTCTCAATGCATTAGCATTTAACTGTTTAACATTACATTTTTGCTTCAATCTTTTTGAAACTGCGCGATGGGGAACTAGAATTAAATGCTAGAAACAGAGAAACACCTTACTCGCGAATGTGCGATGAATAAAAAATCTGAAACTAGTCATCAAAGGTAGTTTTCAAACTGCAGTCGATTTTCGTTGAAGTGGTTCTCATAAATTCTCAAGTAGAAAACTAAGACGACTCTATGTAAATAGCAAGCGTCAAAAATTCTGAAAAAATACATGGAATCAAATTCATCGAAAAATTCCGTGATAACCCATCTTTAAAGAACCTGTCAAGTGATTGTTGATATTTATGACTCTTTTTCGAAATACACTTACAATGCTATATATATTTAACAGACTCGCCATCCATTTGCAAGATTTATATCAGGCTGGAATCAAAAATTTCACGTTACAATTGATTATTGGAAAACGCTCTATCGAGGATTTCCTGGATTGAAAAGTTATAAGTGAGTATAAATAGGTATGCAGAAGACATAAACACTGCCTTTGTCACATCGGAGTCATAATAGAGATAAATATAAACCTAACTACGGGACTAATTGAAACAGACGAAAATTTTACAACGTGTAAATAATGGATTGAATATTACATAATTTCATAATCGAGTCGCCGCCGACTACAACCGTTTTCACGGGAATATCGTAACTGTGCAAATACAGGAAGACCTCGATTTACGACGTTGTTCCGTTTTTGAGATGCGGTGTAACTCGAATTTCAGTGTAAGTCGGATCAACTAAAATGGCGGACAGTATCACTGAAACTGTGTACCATATGACTGAAGCTTAGTGATTATTCGTTCATAATCGTAATAGTTCGCAATTGTTTACTTCATTTACGATGTAAATGACGAAAACCAATGTGCCCAAAGCACTGATTTTCTTGATCACAATGATCCAGTTTAAGGGCTTAAATACTACAGTACAGTATTATCTTGTATATTTTTTATGGAGTGCGTTCGTAGCGTTGAAACAGCGTAAGTCGCGACCGTCGTAACCCGAGGACTCCCTGTATAGACACAGTTCAGGGGGTAATAATTATGCAATGTTGAGTCATACAACGTAAACCTGAACGTATTTTTAAACCTAATACATTGACATCCGCAGCGACATACCGGTAGTCATCTTTCAATCCCGTCGATTTCGGAAAGTAAAAAATATGAGACCAGTAAGATACCAATTGAGAAAAGAACTAATAACCTAATTTCAAGTTTTTGTTTAGCCTTTTTATTTTGCATAAGTATTAAGTGCGTCAACAATTACCTAATGTGTTAAGAAACATCAGCAGGCCTCAACGGCTTGTGCATAGGTGCGATTTAGTAATGTACATTTCAATAATTAGGCAGTAAAATCCATTTTTCTTACTTAAGAAAACTTCCAACTGGCGAAAACCATGTGATGGCGTTTGAAGACTTTGCTAACTATGCAGCGAATAATTCAAAAGTAATAAGAAGCGTAGATGGACATTTTATGCCGATATCGTCAATTTGTAAACCTTGCGAATTGGATTATACTTACATTTTAAAAGCTGAAAGTATAGGCAAAGATGAACTGTGGCTGAAAAAAAGATTAGGGATGGAAGACATAGCCATATTCAGAGTAGGAGTAGGCCCGGGAAGAAGCACTACTAAAAATAATCCTGTGACAAATATCAAATACTATATGTCGAAGTTACAGCCAAATATTGTCAAACGTTTATATGAAGTTTACAAAGAAGATTTTGACACATTCGGCTATTCTTTTAATTTCACAACGTTAGAAGCTGGAGGATTTGAATAAAAAATAATGGCAGTTTTCTATAGTAGTGTGTTATAAATATTCATTGAAGGATGACCAGAATAGTTGAAGTCAATGCTGCAAACTCTTGCTACAAACTCCAAAACAACAATACCTGGAGCAGTTCGTCAAATCAAGTTTTTATTCATTGAATTTTAACATTTTCTGGTTTATGACATTTCACCAAGCGATCACCAGTTTTCATCATATGTGATTCATTCATGTCAATAAATGTTTCCTCGCGAATCTCCATTAATTGCTATCCCGTGTTATAACTATTGCATTGACCTGCTTTGGTATTCGAGGCATTTCACTCCAAACAAGCCTTTATGTGAGCTTCCACTAATATATTAGGAATAATCAAGTAAAAGTTATCCAATGTGCAAGAAAGCACGTAGAGTCATTGAATAATATTCACGTTTGATTTTTTTTTACATATCTCATCATGCCACGTCTTCAAACTTCGCTGTGCTTTCCCCCTGAGACTTCCATCATCCCCGATTGTACCCTAATACTTACTTCGCTCATTTTCGCAATTAAGTGGTTGAAAAGCATATTCGTAATTTAGAGCCAATTTGTGTAATTATCACTATTGAAATTTAGCCGGTACATTTTGCTATGGCGGTACGCACGACGCACCGACACATTCCACTTATGTAATTCTGTACTATCCCATACAAAATTCCTTTCTGTTCGTTTCATTTTTCTTGGGCTGCAAAAATAATGGCTAAAATAATAGGCTTCCGTCCCTTCACACAACTTGTTAATTCAAAGCGTCACTACTTCCTGAAATGTCGACATGCTAATGTATCCCTGTTACAGAATGCGCACTTGTGTAATGACATTGAATAAACGTTCTTGCCATAAAATCGCTAACAATACATTATAGCCGGAAACTTTTTTTGAACTTATCATTGTCAAATTTTCAATATTAGCAATACTAGTACTAAAATTGTTTTTACATTTCTAGAGCTTACCAATTCAGTTAGTGATAGTTAGTGAATTGTACACTACGGGAGATAAATTTGCGATGAACTAATCATTTTTTAATAAATTGCACAGTATAAAGGTTATTTGTACCTACGATGTCAGTTCACGGCCAAAATAAATCGTAACCAGTAACCATCTAAAATCGGTTAACCGAATATCAGGTCAATCATTCCTAGCCCCGGCAAATGCCATATGCATATATAGCTAATGCCATCGTATATATAGTCAATACCATAGACATATACAGCCAATGTTGTATTCATACACAGCCAAATCATATACATATAAAGCCAACTAAATATGCTTGTACAGCCAGTGTCATATTTATATACAGCCAATGTCACATACACAAAAAGGGAAAATCCGATACATATAGAGCCAAGTAAGTATGCATTCACAGCGAACTCAAGTACATATAGAGCCAAGCAAATATGCATATATATAGAGTTAACTCATATACAAAAAGCCAACAAAATATGTATATATACAGCAAATGCCCTAATTACCTTTACATGCCTAGGACCAGTTATCGGAGTGAACAATTTTTCGTCTTCTTACGTCGACTAACCACAAGTAATGTAATTTAACGAAGCACTCTTCCAAATTTCAAAGTGCGCACGGGAATCTTTCCAGTTCGGCATTGCCTACCCAAACTATTATATATATATATAATATATTCTTGTGGAGTTGGAGGGTATGTGAATCCGAGATATGCACCTGCTTTGGCAATATAACTGAGTCAAACACTTCGATCACTTCACACATGTTTTCCAGAGTGCTTCGATTGTACGTGCAGTTTCATGCTTACGCGTCAAGTTTCACTTGTTTAGGAACATATAGAATTTCTGCCGAACTTCATATGACATTCATCCCATAGAATGTGTTTGTTATTCTAAAGAATAATAGTTCTTGCTTTTTTTACAATGCCACAATATGTGGCCGCAGTGTCACATTCATTCAAACCATGTGTTGGAAGTGAGTTTGGTAATATTGCTTGGTGGTTTTCAACTGATTTAATGATATATATCCATCATTCGCCATTTTTTTTAAATCAGTAATGCCAGTAAATCCCAACAATAGATCGCAAAAATAAAGGAGCATTACGAAAATATCATATCATCTGCAATAATAACAACAGTACCCACCGGAATGGCAGCAGGGGTGTGGATAATCATGCTATCTGCTCCATCATGTGACGTTTCAATATCTGATCTGCTTCTTATCATTTTACATCGAGTACTAATCGGTATCTAAGCTCAGCCAGAGATAAAAAGATTGGTACTGCAGTTGGTGGGACAAACTGTTTCAAAATATATATTCTACAAAAAGGTTAATTAAATGCAAATTACTGAAGGTTAAGCCTTATATGACTTTCTGAGGGGATCGGCCTGATCGTGTGTTGCCTTTCAAAAATGGCAACAAAATCCCAGTGTACAATTCCTGTAGTGATATAGATAATAATGACGCTTATCTGACATAGTTTTACAAGTGATTGGCTGCGAAGAAAATAGGTATATATCATCTTTTCCACACAGGAATACGCGAATATATTAGAATCGTTAACATTGGGTAATTGAGTATGTAATACGATGGAATCCTATCTTGGCATTCATGCCTCTTGCAGCTAGTGCATAAATTTCCGAAGGAATTCTGTGACATGGGTATCACTTGGAGAAAGCACGGCGGAATATTTTTTGTTCTAGTGATCTCAAACCTGGACATTTTGTAAGAATTATTCTCCATTCAACATTTTCAAATCCAACATCCACAATCACAAACTCTGTCATTAAAGTTCCAAAACAAGCACATAAATTCATTAACAAATGAATATTACCAGTCTTAAGTGGATATTGCTAAATTGATATTTGTTTGGCGCTCCCGGAGTATGTGCACCAAGATGGCGCACAACCTGAACCCTAACCTGGTACACATACTACGTTCAGGTTGTGCGCCATCTTGGTGCACATACTTCTGGAGGTCCCTTTGTTTTACTATTTTACGCTTTTTGGTAAAGCTGTTATTTATCGTAATTACAACATATTTTGAGTTTGACTATGTTATAGTGGAACCTTTCTGGCCTCTCCTTTTTAACATAATTGTAGCTGGATCTGTTGGGGTTCAGTCCAACAAAGCTACATATATACAAAATATTGATTATAAGTTGCAAAACATTATCATCTTATTGGAATAACTTGGTATTTCACCACCCGTTTATCATTCATTTCTGAGAACATTAAATAAATCAAGTCTAGACCCCGTTCTCGTGAATCGTTCAGTTCATGACAGAGTTTCTCAACAGGGGACCCGGCCCGCGGTCAGGTTATCTAGGTGCCACGAGCAAATCTCGATGCACGAGCCTTCATTGTGTACTATTCGCGACGACGCATTAATTTAAATCAAATTGATGCAAACGAGGAGATATACAGGGTGTCTCAAAAGTAAGTATACTCTTTTAATTTTGATTTGCTTTTCAGGTACTCATCATAGAGCGTTCATTTCTTCAGGAAACATAGTATAGATTGGTAGCAAAATTTAGGTATTGTTTGCATTTTTCATCAACTCACAGATTGACAAGGAGATTACCCCGAGAAATGAGGTAAAAAAATTGCTGTTTGGCAACAAGCATAAATACAGTAAGACATTTGGCACTTTTACGACGAAGAATTACGAAATTCTTCAAAAGTTCATGGGAACTGGATCTGTAGTTGATGCACAAAGATCAGGAGGAGCAAAGAGCGGGTGCTCTAAGGAAAACATTTGGAGCTGAAATAATTTCAAACTTTCTGTTAACAAAGCGCTGGGTTTGCCTTACTGATTTATTTGCTTCTTGCCAAACAGCAATTTTGCACTTCATTGCATGGGTTAATCTATTTCTGTGGGTTGCTGAAAAATGCAAACAACTACTCATCCATCTTATGTTTTCTGAAGAAATGAACGCTCTATGATGAGTACCTGAAATACAAATCAAAATTAAAAGTGTATACTTACTTTTAAGACACCCTGTATAATGACTGTGTATTTTTATAAAAAAGAATTGAGAGACGTTGGGAGTTTGAAAAGCATTGGTATGAAATATAGACGAAAATTACGTTCTTCCTCAGGAATAAGAAATAAAATGTAGTGTTTTCTCAGTCGTGTTTACGTGATCGTATTACCCTTCACTACATTGTCGTGATCATCCGCGCATAACAACCTTTGCTAACAAATAATTGACTGTTCTCCACCGGGTTCATATTTGCGCTGAAGCTGTGCACAATTCACTTGAACCCATGTCGACGGCATTAGGCAGGATTGTATTATTAATTGCAGCAGTAGCGCATATTAGAAATGGTGCTCTCCGTTTTACGTGTATGCTATAATAGCGTTTCTCTCCAATTAGTCGCGATCCAAAGCTGGGTCGGTGTATTTTCAGCAAAAATCTAAAAATTATTGATTTTATTTTCTAGTAAGTTTGACTATTTATTTCTTATTTAGTATTGAATTGATAGAATTGTATATGTTGGAAGTTTCACGGCGTAAAAACTCGAAAGTATCTATTTTGCGGTTCCATTACATTTGAACCCACGTACATTTGAACCCATGACAATTGCACCTGTATGCTATTGCACCTATGGAATTTTTTTTCGTTTCACGGATAGTTAAACCCATACTAACCCTAACCCATGGGTTTTAGCACCCGCATATAGATTGAACCCGTGGATATACGCATGGGTTCAAATGTACATGGGTTCAAATGTACGGTCACCCTATTTCGCTTATGTAATACCATGCCAGAATTTCAAAAAATCGCTAATGGCCAGCAAATAATAATGCTGGGTGTAATTCGACTATTCGTGATGATTTTTTTTTTACTGATCAGGATGACAAGTCTGAAATTCAGGCATACCCAGTTCATACCCAGAATATGCCAACGGAAGTTTTAAGGATCATTCTCTTTCAATATAGATCACCATTTTATTATAATATATACCACATAATGAGGTAGACTTCATTTCATCACATCCGCTATATGTAGGATGGTATTATCAAAAGTTGTCGAGTTTTATGCCATCAACTGGGCGCTTTAATACTAGGGATTTTTTCAGAGGCCGAATTAAATGTGCAAGAGAGAAGAGTATAGAAATTTGATTGTGTGGGTTCCGAATTTACTCACAGTTATTTTTTCTTCTTTCCAATTGTTCTGTTATGTACTGTTGATATGATAGATTCTGACGACGTTGTTTCATTTCCGTTGCGTTTCATTTTGTCCAAGTTTGACGGTGGTACATTGCGTTCCAGGTTTGCTGGCGCCGATGAAATTGCTTCTGGTGTGGTATCGAATACTGAAGTGGTTGAGTCGTCGAAGTTGTTGACTCTGACCGTCACATATAGATTTCCCCTTGGAAGTTGGTGAAACGTGGTATTGTCGATTGCTGAGTTTTCTAGCATGTAGAGTTGCCTCGTTCCCGGTTGAAATTGATTTGGTGGAGTTCTCGACAGACTGATGGCGTCGGGGTCTTTCTCAAATTCTGCAAAAACATGACTCGTCTGCAGGCATCTTCTACAAGTTGGCGTGTAGAGCTCACGAGGTAAAAAGATTTTGCACCTCGTGCCGCCAACAACTACATAGTCGGGGTAGTCGTTCCTTTTTGAAACTCTCAATTAGAATGATATGGCCCGTTATAAATTCGGGTTCCACGATGCCAGTGCTTCACAGCGGTTCTTACCTTCCCACATCCGAGTTTGCCGATCGTGGAGACAGCTTTTGCAAAGTGGTCTCATCCGAATGATGCCATAGCAAAAAATAAAAGTAATAGCCCTCTAGCAAAAAATATAATCTTTGCTCACTGAAAATTTCAAAGCAATTGGTCCAGTAATCAAAGAGAAAAGCGATTTCTTCAAAACGTGTCAAGAACAACAAGAACAACAAAGCAACAAAACGATCGTTATGTCCTACGTGTCCAATAATGAATGAATATCATCAGACGGATCTGCTTTGAGTTTCCACGTTGATCAGCAGCGGGAAATGCCAGTTAACACAGAAAGGTGCCTTCCAATCCTATTTCTATTGTGACACACCAATAAATTCCAAATTATTCGAGGCGCAAATTACCCAAATTGTTTTAGCAAATGCTCTCAAACTTGTAAAAGAGCAACGATTTAGGCTACTAATTACTCACTGAAATGAAGTTATCATCGGCATCCGTACCGATTTGATTTTATGATCAAAGTCGTATCACAGTTTGGGAAAGACTGTCTTAAAAATATCAGGAAGAGATTCAGTCCATAGATGTAATACTTGCCTGGCTTTCGTAAACGGTTGCCTTCTTCGTAAACTAACCACCGACGTATATTTTGCGGTGAATTGGACTTCAACTTTTTAACAAGTTAGGACGGTCAATAATTCAATAGAATGTCATAGTCTTAAAAAGTGCTGTATTAGTACCTGGTTCAGTGCAAATACCTGAAATGTGAACCACACGGTTGCTTGCTAAAACCCATTCATTTAAACAAACGTGTTATTTCTATTTCTTCTTTGTTTGACAATGATAAAATATTCGATAACGAAGTTAGTTTAACCTTCGTATATGTTTAAGGAACTCAGCTTTATCATAAGTAGATTTTTGCGGACGACGCATCGTTGCTTGCAAAATACCAAACCGAACCAAGAAAGCAACGCTCAAATATATGGACACGTTAATCAGAGCGAAGCAGTCCTTACCTTTGACGCTACCGGTACCCTACGGTACCTACGACTTAGCAAAGCAAGCATTCGATGAGCACGTGATCAAAAGAACGTGAATCAAGAAGAAGAGTGCCAGAATAAAAACAAATCCATTACGTGTCAAAAAAAACGAATCCCACAGTGCCATCAGGAATATTTGAAATAAATGAAAGTAATAGCCTTCTCAAGAAAAATTTAATTTTTAACTACTGAAAATTTCAGAGCAATTGGTTTAGTATTCAAAGAGAGAAGCGATTTTTTAGGTTTTCCACATGATGTCCAAAACGTGTCAAAGAACAAGAAAAAACAACAACATAATATTGAAACGATCCACAAGTTCACTACGTGTCCAATAATAGCGCATTAGACTGGCGCACTCACTAAAAGTAAAGGAAACTCATCTCTGATTATAATTATGTCTTCACCGCAATAGCAAATTTTTAAATCGCATGATTTGCGGTTTCATCGTTCATATAAATTCTGAGGTTGTGGGAAATATTTTCGTGCTGTACAGTTTCATAGAAAATTTAATTTGTTCTATTGACTTTTTGTTTTCTGTCTATTTTACATCTTGATGTTGCAGCGATGAGTTTCTAAAAAAATATGCACGTCAAATGAGTATTTCACTCAAGAAATTATGTGCGGCAAAGCCACTTCAGTACCTGAATTAGCATAAGAAAGAGGATGTACAATCAAAAAGCGAGAGACGCAATTGTCTGTATTTTTTAAACGGTTAAAAAAATTATATTGTACGATCACCACCCACGCATATTTTGTGATACCGGTACATTAAACTTATACTCTAAAACAAGTTAAGACTGGATGTGATGCCATAGTCTAAAATGAATTTGTTTTCAGTGCGAGATGTATGGCATAGTTGCGTGCAAAGTCTCATCCATTTAATCATTTATCAAGAATGTTATCTCCGCATTGTTTGACAAAGAATATAATAACCAATTACGAGCCTTTGCCTATGCTCGAGAATACTTCGCTTTATTGTAAGTAGATGTTTACGGACAAATAATAGTTGCACTTGCAGAATAACAGACGCAACTCCCTTTAGGCGCTAGAAATGGCATCTTCAAATGGCGCAGTCACTCAGAATAAAGGATACTCATTTTTGAGTAACGTTACGGGTGACCGCCGTGAATCAGGAGTTATTGAAACTTTATAGATTTGTGTCGGTGCATCACAGACCATGAAATTTCGATGGCGCAAACACTTGGAGCAGTTGGGTTAAATCACGTTTAGAAAAAAAAAAGACTATGTATGTGGTGAATCTCACACAACTGAAGGAAGCATCTTGTAACAATGTTGGGCAAAACACTGGAACGGTTACTCAAATATTACAGCAATAGTGCAACAAAAGATGCATTGGATATTTGAAAAAATTCTGATGAGCAATGTAAAGAACACAAAGTTTTATTTACATACCTAATTATAGACACGAATAAATACTATTTAAATTAGAAATTTCGAGACTTTATCAATTTAAAATATAGCTTGTTTTTGACTATATTTTTAAATATAATTTTATCATAATTGACCTCATCCTAACTTCTTATCTCCCGCTTTTGATATGATATGCAGCTAGCAATTCGCATGATACAGTGAAGATAACTGCGAGGACAAGGTTGCAGAAGAGTCGGATGTAAAGTGTGCTGTGTCAACAATAGTGCAATTTATATGTGTAATCTTGCTCGGAATGCAGCTGATGCGATGTCATCGAGGCCGTTCTATCACCAAATAATTGTTTGTAAAGTATAAGCGTATGATGACGTATGGCGTGATTATCTATGTACATTGTGCAATTGAACCGTTCTTCTTAACGAAACGATAGTAGTTTATATAAAGAAAATTCAGCAGTTGGGTTGCTGATTTAAATTATTAAGCACCACTCAGGATGTATGATCAGATAAATTTTTATGTTTCCGATTTTGTCAGATTTGTACCTCGACTCATGCAATTTTGCAGTTATTTGTTCAAAGTCTCTTTTATTATTCGAATTACTTTCAATGGGCATTATGCAACTGTATTTTAATTACATTGAAATTACATCTGATTTGATTAAAACTTCGAATTACGTTCCACGGAAAATGAAGCTGACAGCTGCAACAGGCTCTCTATTTGAGGGGGGTACCTTGTAAATATGCCATTTTATATTTGCTAAAAACGTTAGTTAACTTTTTTCATTGCAATTACTTGCAGTTTACTTAGTACTCGGAAATATGGATAAACGTGCATTAGCTCTGTTTCTGCTCTCCTTGTTATCACTAGGACAGGCACGTAATACATGCGTATCGCAAACTTCACTCGTATATATTAGTTTTGGGTGTGGACTGGGTTGAGTCAAGTTAATGACCAATAGTTTTGTCAGATAGTCAGTAAAAATCATTTTGAAACATTCGATCCTGTCCAATCTCGAAAAGCTTTTATTGAGCCATCCAGAATGGCACCATATCTCAATCCAAAAATGTAATTAATTTTTTTCGTTCCTTATCAAGTCGGTCATCTTCTAAAAAAAATTGTAAATATACTGAACCAATTTTCTGATTTTTTACCTCGAGAGAAACGCATTGACTTATTTAGAAAATCCAGTATGACAAGCTGATATAAAATATTTAAAGAAATATTTTTATGAATTATCTTTTTGCCAAAAATCTTTTTTTTGGGAGCAGAACAAGTTCTCTACATGTTTCTTCTGGTCCCCAATGGAATTTTTGCCCATAATTATCATTCTAATATAAATATATGCTACTGACTCAACATTATTTATAGATCATAAAGAGACGCTCTATCGCAATTCTTATGTTTACACATTTATGCGGATGACAGCGACGATGTTCATTGGGATGACGCGGATTATCGATGTGCTTGGAATAACGCAGGGCATCTAGATCTACATAAAACATATACTATTAACCAAGATGTTTACGAATTGACGGATTCCTGGTAAGTTTGTAGACTTTAATTTTGATTACAAAACACTTAGTAGTTTTATTGGTTATAGTTTAGTGGTCATACTGTAGGCGGTCAATATTTTTTGAACGAAATTTTCAAGAGTTTTGTTCCAGTTGAAAATACTTTAATAATATCGTTCAATTTGTAAGTTGTTTGATAAAATTTACGTAAATTAAGTTTGTATAAGAAATCGAAAAGCTACGTGTGTCCTGTAGGCCTATTTTTGGAGTTGAGTAGTGAATTAACGAAAGAAATTGATGACCATTTCAAGCCCAGACGCTATGGTGCCTCAAGCTTTGTAACCTTCTTTCCACACTCGATTGCCTATTAAAACCCTACCGGTTATTATTGGCCTATATTTAAAATTGGTCGGCAATTAAAGTGTATTTTGCTAGATGATTTATGGTGAGTGCTATTTTTTACACAGGGGCAATCGAGAGTCTTGGATAGGTGCACATGACAAGTACTCTGAAGGATTTTGGCACTGGGATGATGGCCACAAAACTTAGTGATGGATATCAAAATTGGTGAGTATTGTGTTACTCGTCAATTAAGTATTTAGTGTGGTATAAATTGAAATGTGATATTTCGAATAACAGTGTAAACATAACGTTTGGAAAGTACTAACCAATTAGTGACCGAGTCGCCAATATCCCTATATATGTCTCTCGCTCCTTTATTCAATGTTACTATTATATTGTATTAAATTTGGCCGTACAACAACACAGGGCTTCAGGCGAACCAAATGATCATCGTGGTGAGGATTGCGGAGATTTTCTCTCACCCACTAACCGTTGGAATGACGAACACTGTGACCAAAATTATGGATATATTTGTCAAAAAGGTATAAATATCATAATATTATACTCGTCATATGACGTTCACAAAAATACCTCAACGCTATCCTTTTTGTATGCCCCCTACGGCATTAGATAAAATTTTCTAAAGAACTAGAAACGTAAGAAGTTTTTGAAAGCAACGTGTAAACTCTGTTATATGATCTTAAACTAAGCTACTACTATTATAATTATACAACTGTCCTGTTTGTATGCAATAGACATCAATTTGTGATTAGATTCTTGATTGCAGTTTGAGCAAAGTCATTGTTGAACCACAAGTCAGCCATTTGGCAAGGGAGTGCGATGTTTGATATAAGTCAAGATGCGCTGATATTTCTATGCAACGGATTGTGTCGGGCTTGTAAGGATGTCGTTCAATCAATTAATCATCAAATATTTATTTATTTCGTCTTCGCTAACACAAAACAAGATAATACGATTAACAGACAAGCAAAATACAGAGTATCGAGTATCGAGTATCCTAGTATATCTCACTCGCCGAAAAATCAGATTAACACCTAAAATCGAGCATCAGCTTTTAAATCAATTTTACGAGAAGAGAAACACAAAAACACTGAATCAGTGCAACAGCGTTTATGTGGCGACTGTGAAAATTCAAGATCAACATATTAATGAGTAACATCAACTCAGCAAAACATTTTACTCGTTTAAAAAGATATTTGTCATTTTTGGCAAATATTCCTAATACAGCCACATACTTTGAAACCTTTTGCCAAAGAATACAAAAGTATATTTCATCAGAAATTATGAATAATATTTAATTTCATGATCATTATTAGTATTGTGCAATACGTTAATTACCATTCTCGCAAAAGAATGGTATGATATCAAAAAATTTAGTTCCGCACTTAGTCCGCGTCAGGCCAAATATTGAATACAACATAAATACCAAACTTTCGATAAGGGCATCAAAATTGTAATCACGTACTGGTAGACGTACTGTAAATGATAACTCTGTCGGGACTTTGGGAATGCAATATTGTTATTAACTGCTTGCCACCTTACCATCCTATTTCAGATATGTGTTAGCTTGCATTCTTCATTATTGATGGCGTATGCTATTAAATACAGAAGATTTCGATCTATGTTTTATATCAATCAGATCTAATCAAAAGTTCTGCTAGTGATTATACCGAGGTTGTCTACACGAAACCAAGTACAGACAGATCGTTCGCTCAACAGAGATGTTCTTTACATGGTTTCCAACTTTCGGAAGAAAGAAAATATGAAATCGTGCCAGAAACTTTACAGCAGTATGTCACTGACTTCTTATCAGATAAAAGATATCATTTTTCTCATTACTTGCATAACGATTTTGCGGAATTGAGCCCCGAACTTTTAATTAGCTTGCTTTGAATTTAAATATTGCACGGTGAATCATTTATAAAACAACCGATAGTAATACCGCAATAATAAGTGATAAATTACAATACCCATTCAACACGCATGACATTTATCATAATTCTGGACATATTTATTAAAGGTAGTGATGAATAACGAACTGAATGACTTACGCAGCAAATCTAGCTGAAGTGTTTGTTTATCACGAACTATTAATAGGAAGAAAATGTAATTTCTTTTCATAAATGTCATTATGTCATCAATATAAATTTTGTTTGTTCAACTGCTGGCTAAATATAGTTCTAAAGTTACATAAGATTTGAATGCGAAACTGCTAATTGCAAAGGCCAATGTTGAACGTATTGTAATAGTGTGGCGTGGTATTCATTGCATAACATATAATTTTTATGTATTATTTTTTGACCAGAAAACATGGAAATTTACGTGCAAAGTATCAACGGGAATGTCTTGTTATGGAAGGAAACAAATTTGAAAAGCAAATCTGTGACGAAACTTTAACTTCTGCTTGCAAAGCAAGTAAGAATATTTGTATATTGACAATTTTTTTTAACAAGAGACACTATCATTCTCATATTTTTTCTATAAAATAAATGACAATTATATAGAAGGTCCTTTAAAGAAAAAAATATGCTCATCATTGAAATGAGCGTCCAATGATAAATATTATTGGGTTAACAAGGACAATCAGCTTTTTCAATAAGTAGCTACTACGAATTTTGCTACGTCTTTTTCTGAAGCAGGAGATCCTAAACTCCTTCAAAACCAATACGCGTTGTTCCGAGCTCATACGCCCAATATCACTGAACACTATCCTAAGGGATTAATTGAATATTTCTTACCATGCAAACCAGTCAACGTACATGTTGTACATACATACTAAAATCCTAATGCAGCTTATTGCGAATGTATACAGTTCACACGTACGACTTGAAAATATCTACCGAGCAAGAAGATTACATGGAATCAGACAGAATTGAGATCGATTGCACCGCATCTGGAATTCCCCTCCCCAATGTGACCTGGCATCAAGGATATGCTCCAGTATCTGAGTCTACTGACCAAGAAATCTTCCAAATTTCAAAAAAAGGAAGATCAACTCTGATCATCAAGAACGCTCAAGTTACGGATACTTCGCGCTACAGATGCTTTGCTCAAAATCAAATTGGCAATGATGTAAGAAAAACAAAAGGATACTTGGACGTGAGAGGTCCGGATGATAAATTTTTACAACTATAAAGTTCAAATTAATTCTGATATTATTATATATATACCGATATGCATATGGTTCGAAATAATAACTAATTCAATCACTACACGAAGTAACTTACTATCAGGTGCAACGAAAGTTAGAGAATGACTTGATATCGGATAATAATATACAACCCAACTCAGATACTCAGGTACTATGTGGTATATTAATATAAAATAGTGAAACAAAGTGCAAATATATCGTGCAAAGTTCAAGATAACATGAATAGTCATTCAAATATTTTAAACTGATTGTTGCGTACATTGTCCAAAATCAAGCAACCTAATTTCTGAAAATTATTATTTTCTTACCGTTTAAATAAGTAATATTTTCATCTCTCTTATCGATATGCACAAAAATATATAAAAATTCCAGTCTTTTATTTTGACGTGTTTCTCATTTGTAACGCAATGAAAACGAAACAAATATTTGATACTAACAGACTTCTTACATTTAGTTCACCCAAAGACATTGGCCATCCCAGTGAACAAAGGAAGATCTGCAGGAATCCAAGAGCAGTCGGCGTTAAGGTAATTTGAAGCAATCCCTTCGTTTGAATAAATGATTAAGATTAATTCTTCTCATCACGTTATGCATTATTGTCATTATAAACATCAAAAGGTTGTACTTCAGATTCAGTTAAATTACTTTTACTAAAATGTAACCGAAATAGGTCCCAAACAACACCAAGTAGTAATATTATTCACTTTTTTTGAAAAATGATTATCCTTTAATAATAACAACACCTTACGTGCCAGTGGGTCGTATCCAAAGTGAAGGCATGAAAACGCCTCGCAAAACAAATATTTGGAGGTTTGTAATGTGGATATTTTCTGTGATGCCGGCATTCGTATTTTATTTTTTCAGTGATGACATTGAATATAAAGAACCATCGTCTTGTCAAGGTAAGTGTTATAAGAATTAACTTTAGTTATTTTTGTTCCAGCGAGCTTTGTTTATATAGTCATAATTACATTATTGTTCTTCGTGTTGTAACCGCTGATAATTGCCAAGCTACAATGGATTGCATCAGCATTCTTCACTACAAATATAAGACGGTGGTTTGACTTGGTTTGGCTATTCTTAGTGACTAAATTAAATTATTTTGCAAGTTCTTGTGTTTAGGTTAAGATGACTTTTTAGTTTATTAAAGCCATAATTTTAGTTACAATAAATTGACTGGCACAACAGTAAGTAATTGTAATGATGTAATTCAATACTAAGTAATATTGTAACCGAGCGGTTTATTATGATTGTGCCTTATTCTAAGAAGTTTACCAAGAATGCGAATAATATATTCATAAAACGTTTTAATTTTTGCATCTGGAAAAACTTCACAGTTTTTGTAAAGTATAGTTCTAAATACAAAATATTTATGCAAGTATATATTTTTAATGTTAAGGGTATATATATATAGTTTAGTCATGGTTTACAATCTACTTTATTAGTAAACTGACTATCATCTGTTTTATTAATAACAATGCTAAATCTCATTCATAGTATTAATTATTCTGCTTTCAAGGTACGGTTAGATTAAATCTTTAGTTGGTAATTTCAAGACAAGTATAAATTATAAGTTTTATTTTCAGATCCTAACGAGAATTTGTGGATGCTACCAACTATATTTGGACTCAACGTCTTGATGATACTGCTGTTGTTTGTCTTCATGTGTAGACGGTATATGTTACCAGAATTCCCTCCTTCCTTATCGTAATAATAATACTAACTACACTCACTTAGTGGCTGAGTCTTTACAAAAATAAACATGCAGTCTATTTCTGAATTTGATACGACACCTTGTACTCAAGCTACAGCAAAAACAAAACTTTCTTTGTAAATGTCGTTGGCGTAGCACGCTATGAAGATTTAGTGTATTATGTAATGGCACATTGGGACTAAGTGTAACGTTTAATTTCATATTCATTTTGCATTTCTATTCACTGCATCGTGTTCTTATGGTTTTCTTGAATTTCTCTTTTCTAACAGTTCTGATCCTGCTCCGCCAAAAGCAGATAACAGTGGACACGAATTCACAAACTATGCTGGTAAGAACAAAATTGCTCTAATGCTTGAAATGTCCTACTGGCTGATAATGTAAAGGCGATCTATATGATTCTCCTTACATTTCTTATGTAGTTTCAAGTTTTATGTCTGGAGTTTGTACTTCAGGGTTAGTTGAATTACTTTTACTAAAACACAAAATGTTTAGCTTGTATAGAAAACTCCAGATATTGCAAATTTATAAAAAAAAAATCAAATTCCCGCCCATGTTATATGAATTCAAAACATGGTTTAATTTCGTAACCTCGTTTTCCAGTGACTGTTACAAAGCATCAACTCCCAGATGGATCGTGGAGCACCTAAGCTGCTATAGATGAAAACTGAATGAATAGTGTTAAACTTTTTATCTGATCACATTATTTCTAATTGCTACGCTTTTAATTAAATCTGGTGTCATAAATATGTGTGAGTGGAAATAAATATAGATGCTGTCGAATGTCATCTTGATCTTATTGTCTTACGGTTTGATTGATAAAATTTCGGATTACCATGTACTAAATTAGAATGATTTTTATAATTTAGTGTTACAGAATTTTCATTAAAATTAAATATTATACAATTCAACAATAAATGATTGCATAGAAAACTGTTGCTTTAATGGATAAACTGGGTGGTGTGATTAAACTCAAATTGAGCCATTCGGTTCGACTGAAATTGAATTTTGACCGAATATTTCTTTTCCGGGCATACGCAAAAATATATAATAACAGGAATGTCAGGGGTCATTTGAGACTCATTTCGCCCTCTTTCGATTTTAGTTGAAAGCACGAGGTATTGCTGTGTGCTGGTTTGCATAAACTATTATTTTCCTCAGAGCATTCAATCTTGTCGACAAATGAACTGTTTCCACGGTGATGAATGGCGCTATCACGTTTAGCTTGATTAAACACGATTGATCTAATTTATTACACTTGGAAACTACTGTTACATACAAATTATTGTGCGCGTTTCTTGTGCGTTCGGCATTTTTCTAATTTATTACACTTGGAAACTACTGTTACATACAAATTATTGTGCGCGTTTCTTGTGCGTTCGGCATTTTTTGGCGGATCCGCCATTGGTTCAAGGCAGTTTCAGAATATAGTTATGTGGCGTGTTACATATAGATGCCATCAGATCTTACTACATGCCTTGGTTTGTGGCTACACAATTTTACCCTCTATGCCTATGGTTTCTAATTTGCTGCCGTGGTACCCTGCCTCACGCCATTGTTTGTGGCAGTTCAAAAGTCAGCTGCCGTGGTTTCATCTTTATCGAATTGGCATTCCCGCCATGGTTTTGCGGCAGCTTCAGACGCCACATGGTCGTATTTAACTGCACTTGGAAACTGAACAGCTTTGAGGATTAAACTATCTTTCATCTGGGAGAGACGGAGGAGACAATCTCATTTGTTATAATTTTATAGTCACAATAATAAATCTTACTTTAATGTACTTTAGTAGAAATTGTAGTTTTCTAGAATCTAGAATTGGTATTGAACTATTATGATAGATGGGTAAAAATTTAGAACATAGATACATTTAGGAAATGGAATGATGATAAAATCACACAAAACTCAATTGGTCAAACGAATGCAACTGGGGCAAGTGTATGCAACATGATTGTTTAACAACTGTATAGAAACTGTATAAGTTAGCTTAACCTTCGTCGATGTTTGTCTTTGTATTATTTCATTAATTATTATACTTTGTTTTAACTGAGCCTACCGAGATCAAAATGATTTGCCTATTTTATTCATACATTTCATCGAATAAAACAAATATATTTACCTTAATTGTTTTCTTTGTTACAAGAAAAGGGTATGACAAAAATTGATCATGAAAAGTTTTCATTGATTTGTTTAATAACTCTATAGAAACCATACACAGTTTGCTTAACCTTCATCGATGTTTGAGGTACTTCGCTTTCTGCAAATCTGCAGTGGCCCAAACTAAATTTGAAATTCGTGATTTATGTTGGTTGCGTCCCCTGTATTTACGAAGACATATATCTTGTGCAGTAAACATGTTTTCATTATGTTGAGTAATATTGTGTTTAGCATAAACTCATAGCTGGAGCATAGATCAATGTCTCAATTTTTCATCATTTGTGCAATATATGACATAGAGCATGTTGTGTGATGCGCTCGCACTTTGTTATATTAATTGTACTTGTACTCTTATTAATTGTAAATTGTAATTTAGTGTTCAAGAAGAATTACACATACTTTTGATAGATAATCTGTATTTTAGGTCGTTCCATGTTTAAAAAAAATTGCTTTTGACAACTAGATAACTTCATTTTATTGCAAAGCATTTAATAGCATCTTCGGGGAAATATGGATAGACTTTCTTTGTTTTTGTTTCTGTTCTCCGTGATATCATTGGGACAAGCGCGTAAGTTGCCAGATATATGATACGTTAGAGTCCTATCTGCTGACAGTAGTTTATCTTTTTTTGCTCTAATAGTCTGTTGCCGAATTTGTGTTAGCCGTATAAGGTTTGTATTTCAAAAAACAGTTCCTCTTTCTAAGGATGATTAAAATCTGGCGCTCCTGAAGTATGCGTACCAAGATGGCAGACACCGAAACGTAGTGTGTGTACCAGGTTGGGATTAGGCCATAATTTTATTCCAATTTTCCAAGTTAGTTTCTTACGAGTCGGGGACTAGCCAAGTGACTCTCGTAGTATTTGTACCTAAAATTATCGCCTAACCCTAACCTGGTACACATACTACCTCCCGGTGTCCGCCATCTTGGTACGCATACTTCAGGAGTACCTGAAATCCACATTTCAATCGCTATATTGATACCTTTAACTTGGAATATGACCTTGTTTTGATAATGAAAAAAGTCTTATTAGCCATTTTCTTGCAAAAATACTTACTTTTGATAAAAGTGTTTCAGTTTCATCGCATTGCCTTTGCTACGTTGTTACTCTGACAGTTTCTTATAAAAATAGAACCCATATTTTTTACCCAACAACATGCCAAATTTTCTTGTGCGTCTGCAATAAAATAGATTATTAGAAGGCGAGGTTGCCCACAAATGACCGAAATATTTTATTTATTCTTGTTACAACATTAGTATTGACTATTAGGTAAATGCTTGAAATTTTAGTACATATTCTTTTATTTAAGAAAACTGTGTTTTTTGTCTAAAATTTTGTTCAGATAAACAAATTGCGGTACAGATAAACAAGTACTCCATCAAAAACATCGGATGTTATACATTTGACAGAGTTATCAAAAACCTGATAATCAGTTCGCAAATTATCGTTTCGATATGTACTGTGAACTACATGCAAGGATATGCATTTAACAATATATTTCTCCTAGATTACAAAGAGACAGTCTATCGACCTTCTCACATTTACACCTTTTATGCTGATGACAGCGACGACGTTCCATGGGATGAGGCTGATTTCAGATGTGCTTGGCACGGTTCGGGACATCTTGTTTACATAAAATCATGGGATATGAACCAAGCCGTTTATGAAGCTACCGATTCATGGCAAGTTAAAGTTTATATTTTGTCAAAGTTTCATTTATTTACAGAATTTTCGTTTCAAATAGTTTTTATCATTCACGTTATTTAGTAGAAGCATTTCCTTGAGTACTAAAATGATTGGCGACATTCAAACTGGACAAGCACTATCAAACATCTACAGTAATCCAGTTAGTCTTAATACAAAATAACAATATCCAGCTTCATACAAACTAATCTAATAATTTATTTATTAACATTAATTTATTCTAAATCACTGTCAACGTATAAAAAGCGAGATGCACAATTTTATTGTTTCATTTCTCCACTTTTTTGTACAACGGTAAACTTATAACTTATACATATAGGGGTAATCGTGAATCTTGGATAGGGGCACATGATAAATATACCGAAGGATATATGTACTGGAATGATGGGACAAAACTGAGTGAGGGATACCAAAATTGGTGAGTAGCTGCAGTATTTCGCAAGTTTTTCAACTTAGAAAACAAATATTGTATAGTGATATTCGTTTCAAAATATAGTGTTGCTATAATAAGAAAAAGATGAAAATTACAACAAGAAACGCCACGTAAATGTTTCATTTTTTCTCAGTTTCGTTTTTACTTATTTGCTCATCTTGTGCAAGTTAATAGATGCGTCTGTATATGTCTATATCAGGAGTATCGATTATTACATACTATGAGCCTTCGTAAAAAAATTATTTCACAATTTGATTTTCAACATAAGCAGAAGAAAAAATAAAAATAAAATTAAAATGGAAAAAAAATGAATATAAATATTTCAAGTATTAATAGTAAGATACAATGAGTAAAAAAGCATAAACTTCGATACAATCAGTTGTAGATAACGTTATAAATCTGATGGGAAGCGATGAGGGTATTCAAGTTGGATGTTGAATGATTTTAATTGAGATGAAAATACACGTATGGTGTATGGATACTGCGTTGGAACTATATGATCACTGAAAGTTCATATTATTATTTATCATTGAAACTTGTCGTTTGTTCTTCTTTCATCATCGCAATACTTATCCAAAAATACGATTGAATAAAAACAGGGGTAGTGGAGAACCTAATGATCATTTTGGCGAGGATTGTGCGGATTTTGTGTCACCAAATAACTACTGGAACGATGAAGACTGTGGACACAAATATGGATTTATTTGCCAAAAAGGTAAATATTACGCAAGAATATTTGTTGAATAATAATTCAAATACGTATGAATTTAATATTCCAAAAGGCATATTTTTTTCGTGAACATGATATGTTGAATGTGTCAATCAACTTTTATATAACCAAAAAAGCCATTTAAATCAGAAACACCATTTTTTATTGATTCTGTTAATCAATGAAATTTTGAAAATAAAAAAAATATCGCGTAATTTTATTTTTAATAGTCTGTCACTACAGAATGAGGCGGTATATTCACTGTGCCACAATGTGCTATGCATAACCAATTTAACCCTCATTGGTTGTTCAGATTTACATAATTCACAAATATTATAATGTTCAGAAACATCAACAAGTACCGCCCGTGACTACACCGAAGTGGTTTATGTCAAAACAAATTCAATCGAAAAATCAGTACTGAAACAGAGATGTTCGGCTCTTGGCTACCATCTTGTGGAAACAAAGAAATACGGAAGCGTTCCTGTAAATTTACCACCGTAAATTAATTTTTAATGATTCTTAATGTTCATTATTAGCAGTTAAAATTGAATTTATAGTTTTACATAAATATTGACTATACAGAAATGAACATTGTACTTTTTGATTGACATTTACGTTTAACTGCAACTCGTATATTGAATCACTTACTAACAAACAAACATTAGGATATTTATTTGTTGTTTATTCTTGGTAAATATTTCCAGACAATATGACTCTCACGAAATTTTAGTTATATTTTCAGCATCCCAATGCAGGAAGTAATGATTTGATGTATTTATGCTACTTATCGTTTTTTCATCTTTTCTCAAGAAACCTTAGAGATTTACGTACGAAGTATCAGCGAGAATGTCTTGTTATGGGAAGAAATGGATTTAAAAGACAAATCTGTGACCAAACGTTATCTTCTGTTTGTGAAGCGAGTAAGAGCATTACTAAATTTTAAAACAAATATGTAATTTCACTTCGTCGCTTTGAAGTTGAAAATTAATGGAACGACCGAAGTCAAAAGTTTTGCGGGTATAAATGAGCTTACACCAATTCCAAATGTACACAAAATAAGCTCAATTAATACTTATGAAAAAATCAAATCAAACAATCATTAACATTCAAATAGGTGAAAGATGGAATATTTATAGGTCCTTAGTTGATAATATTTAATTTGCCCGTATAAAAAGTTCTTTTGGTGTGATATACTTTGCCTTGACTATAAGTGTAACTTTTGAATAACAATTATTGATGAGCATTTCTTATGATTAGATTCCCATCGCCATTTTTATGCTTCATTTATGTTCTCATGTAAACATACTTTAAGTCTCAAAATTTGACAGTTCACTCCTACAATTTAAAAATATCGACCGTACAAGAAGATTACATGGAATTGGACAAAATTGAGATCGATTGCACCGCATCCGGAATTCCGCTCCCTAATGTAACCTGGCATAGGGGATATGCCCTTGTCCCGGAATCCTCAGATGAAGATATATATCAGACTTCAAGAAAAGGAAAATCAACCCTGATCATCAAGAAAGCACAACCTACAGATACTTCACGTTACAGATGCTTTGCTGAAAACAAAGTTGGCGATACTGTCAAAAGAATAAAAGGATACTTAGACATAAGAGGTCGTTTTTTATGCATTTGCATCATTATTACATTCATAGTTATTCAAAGACTTCTCAAAATTGGTTTGATATATTATTGAAAAATAAGATAGTTTGACTGGTTTAAAATCTGAAGAAGATTATGAAACTAAAGAGCCTATCGTGGCACGTCGCTACATTTTGATTATAATATATTACTACATTATAATATGTAATAAAATATAAGAATATATAATTTAACATTTATTCTACCTATTTTACACTTCCTTGAGAGGGGTATCTTTATATAAAGTAGTTCAAGCATTAGTTAATCAAGATTCACTTGAAGATTCAATTTTTGTTGTGTAATTTGAAAATAGCAAAAATTGTATTTGCAAAACATAAGCAATTAGTACAACCAATTGTCTTCTGGCTTTCAGTACACCCACAAACATTGACCAGATCAGAAAACAAACTCAAGTCTGCAAATATACAAGAAGATTCAATCTTGAGGTACTTGTTTTCATATAAATTTTTAAATGAATTACTCGCCAATTTCATCCTATGTCAAGTTTGTGTTTTAGGTTTGGGATTTTTTACAAAAAATTCTCGTGGAATCGATTTTCTGCCCTCCCTATGCCAATCGAGGTACAAAAACTAATATAATAATACACGAATAACAATATATTGAATATATTCTTTTACATTTGCAACTACAAGTGGATGTTTAAATGAGACATAAAATAATTTTTTTTGTAAATATATGACATTTTTAATACAATCAAACACAAAAAAGATTACATTACAATGATTACATCAAAGATAAATTACACTGACTCAGGCGAGGTCAGATTTATCAACCGTAGTGAAAAATATTTGTCAACGCCGTTCTATTTCTTGGACACGTCTATTGATGCTAGAGCCACAAGTATATTTTGTAATGAAAATCTATTTTACAGCACTGACCTTGCACTTGATCAACCTTCTTCTTGTCAAGGTGAGAGAGTACTGCTTATTTTAAGACTTCTCAAATTTATACATTGTGTGCGTATTGTTAAAACCGTTCTACAATCTTCATCAAATTTTGACAACGTATGCCGATCAATTGGTAAACCAGAAATGTTTCAAGTGTGTTTATTAATATTCAAAATATTCAAAGAATTTGCTTATACAACCAGCTGACGTTATATTTGCCACCATATCACATGTGGTTAGCAATCGTAACTGGAGATGCATTTTGCATAAGGGATCAATAATCATGATATTGTCGATGACAAAATTGACCACATGTTTATAATCACATATTGCATAAACAAATTGGTATCGATTAAGTATTTTTAAAGTAATGTCTTTTGGTATGTTTAGAGACCAACAAGAATTCGTGGATGATTCCAACTATTTTTGGATTCAACATTCTGATTTTGATTTTGCTGTTCGTCATCACCTGCAGAAGGTAAATGATAACAAAGTTATTTCAGTATATCTATGTATTTCGAATTCACGACTATTAAAAAAAACATAGATTTTGACTTTCTATTAACACAGTGAACTAAACTAAACGTATTCATTAGTATCCACAATAATCGTTGGCATTTTACAAATAACCCTATTCTTGCTGTTTTACAAACATTTTATAATATTAAAATATTTTCATAATTATTCAAGCGCTTTATAAGCCAAATACATTTTTGAATCATTCAGGACAGTCCAAACTAAATTCAGGCTTATTTTAAAGACTCAGATGAAGCTAGTTGGCATTATTGTTTACAAGTTTGGAGAAAGACGCCAATCACATCCGTTATATTTTTTTCTGTAGTTATAAGTTGATAACAATTTGCAAATGCTCCCCGTATTTTATTATGCTGGATGAAGTTTTGCCTCTTTTACCGCTCTCAATGCTGAATTTTTTTAAAAATAGTTTAGGTCAAGCTTCGCCGAAAATATCCGAATATGGACATGAATTCACGAATACCAACTATGTTAGTATGTATATATTTGTTGTTTGAATTATTTTATTTTGCATTACAACATGAAATGATTTGGATTGCATTGTAGGATCATAAACTCAATAGTGGGATATGGTTTGTTTGGCTGCCTAAAATGAAGTGGGGTTGGTGACATACAAATAAAATTAAAAGCCCCAATGCCATATGCATATTCAGTCAATGTCTAATGAATATACTGACATTTAGTTGACAAACATATACACCCAATGGAATACACATATACAGCCATTTTGAAAAAATTACGAGCCATTCAAGTAATGTACATCGCACACAAAAATCAACATTATATGTATATGCAGCCAACTTATACACATATGTAACGAACCAAATATGCATATACAACCAATGGTATAGCCGAACCAGCCAAATCATATGCAAATACAACCAGTGTCATATACACGTACATCCGATGCCATATGAGTTGGCAGTATATACATATGTCATTGACAGTATGTGCATATGGCAGTGGTTGCATATGCCAATGATTTCGACTGCATATGCTCATTCATGGCATTGACTGTATATGCATATTCCATTGTTTTGACTGTATATACATGTGACACTGACTAAATATGTACACGGCTATGTCGCTATATGAATTTGAGTTGGGTGTATATGCATATTTTGGACTGTATTCGTATATCAAGTTACAGGCCATATCGCAAAAACATTAGTTGTGCACATGTTACATGTTTTTCTGAATAGAGTTATCACAACTAGTTCGGTACTTGCATATAATATGTAGGCCTACTCCATCTCAACCCTATCATACGATTTCATCATTTGACGTTGTGAAACTATACAGTTCACAGTCATTTAAAAACGAATCCATTATGTAGTTTGGAGTAAAAAATATAAAACACAACGTTGGTGTAATTTAAAAATGAGAGCAAACATCTACCACAAAATTATATAATTTTAAACATTTTTTTGCAGTGACTGTTTCAAAGCACCAACTTCCGGATGGAACTTGGCGTACCTAAAAGTTATACGACTAAGTTCCGATACTTCAAATAGTTTTAATCACTACGCCACTTTTAATTAACATTGTTTATTTTTTTTCACATACATATCGATTATATGAATATAAAATAGTTGTGGCAGAATTTCCACAAACGCAATGAAAAGTTGACTTGATTAATATATGTTAGTTTGCAATGAATGTTACACTATGTTACATTCTGTTTATTACATATTATAATAAGTGCATTATACTTTTATCACATGTGTGAATTTCCGTAAAAATTGAAATAGTTGTAAGGCTTTGACATTAAAGTCATTGTCGAATATTGGACGAAAACAGTCAGTGTATTGAATATATTAAGCTTTTTTGTAAAAATCTAATTAGTAGTAAAAAAATTGATTCTTGATTCAACTAGTTAGATTCTGCATGATATGACTGTTTCATTTTTGGTTAATTTTGTGTGCCCATTATAGGAAAAACTTAATTTTATTTGAATAATTATAGCTTATGACCAGAATAAAAATTATACGTTCAACTATTTCAATTTGTATTATTGGATCTCCGGTCTCAGCGACCCTTACTCTGAGTAGTTCTGTCTGTGTTTCCAGCTGGGGATTATAAATGTCTACCCCCAAATAGATGGAATTTTTTACACTGGTTATCCTGTCACTCTAATAATTTGCGTATCAAGCAAAGTCCGGATTGATGTTTCGTTTACTTTGACTATTCCGATTTTCGGAATTAGATTCTTATTCTAACACACCATCTCCGATGTGTAACTCTATAACAACTTGTGTTTGACTAATAGTTGAAAGTTCAAATCAGAAATGTTTTTAACACACAGATTAATAAAAGCTCACAAGACAGTACTTTCAATTCAACATATAATGCACAAGATAGTCAAAATCGGAATATGCATTATTAAAAATCTTACTATGAGATATAGAAAATCAATGAAATATTCAACGTTTCCAAAACGAAAGATCATTGCTAAATTTGGTTTATAGCTGTATAGAATAACTGAACAGAGTGTTTAGCATATAAATTGATTCCTAATATTTACAATATAAATTTAAATTACATGTACTAATTCTCAGGACTTTTTCTCAAATTTTTCAAATAATTTTCTTTTCTTTATGCAATTTATAGTTCAAAATTAATAATACAATTTTAATAAAATTGATTCCAGAAATCTTGTTGATATCTTTGCCTATAATAATTGAAAAAATTGTTCGTTGGTCTCTGTGGTCTTCTGAAAATATAAAATACATTATGTTACATTTTTTCATACTCAATATCTTTGAACGCAAATTTCGAAGTTCAAACACAAATGTATAAATTATTAAAAACCTGAAATAAATTACACGATTTCAGAATAAATAGTTGTTCTAAAATTATCATATCTAGAAGAAACAAAAAAAAATCACGACAAATGCATATTGTATTTTTAATGAAATTTTTTTTGCGAGACAATATAATTTCAGAAAAAATTTATGTATTTACCGATGCAAATTATCTGTAGAAGGATAGGCAACTTTTACATCAGGTTCACTGAAAATAAAATTATTCATTATTACTATGAATTACGTTTGGTATTCATTTATAAACCAGGAACTCAGCGTAAAAAAACTTCTTCATCTTTTTCAATGGATTTAATTTCTTAAATTAAACCTCCTCATCTGGTATCAGCGCCATTTTCGCAATGCATGCAAAAACAATAAAGTTTATTAGGAATTTTTAAAGTTGTCATATTTTATTTGTTTTTGAAATCTTGCTACAAATATTTTGTATCCTTCATACTTTGTTACAATTCAAAGTTGCTTATAAATGTTAAATATGTTGTTAAAATATTTTGTGTCATTCTCAAAGACAACGCAACATTAATTATCTTAAAGCAGCGAAATAAAATGAAAATATGTAAAAAACTATTTTACAAAAATACACATTTTAAATTTATTTAAATTATAATAAGTTAGTGATATTTTGTTATACCTCTGACGATGTACTTGAGAAGCAACTTGGGTTTTCTCTGTTTTATCACCGTAAAATGCATATATATATATATATATATATTAACATGATAAAATTATGAAAAACATTATTTCCAAGTTACTTAAATAGAAACAAAATATATATATTATGATTTGATCGTGATTACCTTTACTAATGTGCTGAGAATCTAGTAAAAGTAGCAACTAGGAAACGATTCGACGTCAGATATTAGTATTTAGGAAACAAGCGAAATATGATTTAACCGGTAGGAAAGGGAACTGGTTAAAACTGAATTCATCATAGGAAGAATAATAAGTTTGGTGATATGCAAAAAGTTCATGTTCACCTGTTATCTCCAAGTTGACTACCACATCTATTTCTACATTCTTGTTCAGTATTGAAATTATTAGAATTAGGTAAACATCCACCCCATATGAACTTCTTGCATTTGCATTCGTTCGAATCGTAATACCATTTTGGTCGATAGAAATTGCATGGACCAGGAAGCTTTGGTTGAAAACATATTGCTGAAAATAAACAAAATCATGTTGAAGTATTCCCTGAAAGCACTTTGTGTTCTTTGTGTGCAAAATTTGTTCACACAGAATTCATATTGGTATAGATAGAAAGTCCAGTCGCTTTATAAGTGAGTGTGAATTTTGGTATTCACAGTTTTACATGGCTGAAAGGGATTTCATATTACAAACCTTCAAAATTTTGTTTTTATACGACACAGTCTAGAAAATACTATATCAGGGTCGTCCAACCCGTGGCCCACGGGCCACATGTGGCCCGCCGAGAAGTTTTGAGTGGCCCGCGCTGTATTTTCGGAATTAAATGAGAAAAAATTGAGTAAAACTTCTATTTTTCGAGTGATGTAGTTAATATAAAGTTTTGATACAAACAATTTGTTCATTTTTCTGAAATTCGCTCTGCTAGCCCTTTCAAACGAGTCATGAGTGCCATCTGGATTCGAAACCAACTGGAAGATATCGATACATAAATAGTCGCTTATACACTTGGACAGAATGGCAGTTTTAATGACCTTATCATGTGGCAGCACTTACTTGTACAAGCAAGTTTTTTCACAGATGAACCATGTCTAATCCCATGTGAGATCACTAATTTCTGACATTCAAGTGGAAAATTCGCTTCGCATTGCTACATCGTCCATTTCAGCAAACTTGTTAGCGAAAAACAGTGCCAAACTTCACACTAAAATATCTACGTGTAGAAAAGCTTTGTTGACTTTACTGTATCTTCGTTTTTTTATTGTTCTTATTACTGAGAAAGTTTGGTGCGAGTTTTTTTTAATTTTTTTATTAACTTTTAGTCAGTGTAGCAAAACTAGAACATATTTACTATGTTAAGTGGCCCGCGCAATTATTAGTGAACAAAATGTCGCCCGTCGGCCAAAAAGTTTGGCCGAACCTGTACTATATAATACAAGTAATTTATTGTAAACATTCTTACTATTTATTTTTCAAGTTTATCCGATCATTATTCAATGTAAAAAATTATTGAAGAATATCATACCTGGAGTGCAATAATTCATACATTCTTTTTTTGACATAAATCTATTTTCATTCCCCCCACAGCCACCATAAGCGAATAATTTGCAAGTTTGTTCCTGAGCATCAAAATAGTAACGACGTTTCAGAGCTCTGCAACCTCCCGGTGCAGCTGGTGACTTGCAAACTAAAACAAATTAAAATAATGTAAAAATAGGTGCAAATGCCAGAAAAAAATTATATATTGTTTATCAACGATTTTTGTTCTATGATATTTGTAAATTGAAATACTTATATTGCAATCTTACCTTCACATTTTCCTTCTTGATTGGCAGGTTTAGCCATGAAAGAAAGAGCAAGTGTTTCAGCAAGAAAAACTGCCGAAAATAAGACCAGTATTTTAAAATATCCAATATTCATTCTGATTGAAAATGTGTTAACTTTCGAAAATTTTATTAAAACGTTGTTCCTTTTGTATTCTTAGACTAACCAGACACAAATGATGAAATGTGATAAAAATTGAACAACCTTTATAGACAAAGAATGGGCGTATGCTTTTTTGTATTTTTCAAAAATTGAATCAAATTTTCACCTTAGCGAAATTTTTGCATCATAATTGATAACGCCTACTTGCTATATTTGAATCTGGTTTTTAAAATCTTATTGCAAGAAAACAGGATATAAATAGCATGTGTTTTATACTGCTGTGAATTGCGCCACTAGGCAATTTGGCACTCATCTAGTATATGAACCAATATGGCGGACACCGGAACGTAGTATGTGTACCAGGTTAGGGTTAGGCCATAATTTCAGGTACATATAATACGGGAGTCACTTGACTAGTCGCCGAACTTGTAATAGAACTAAAATAAGAACAATTAGAATAAAATTATGCCCCAGCCCTAACCTGGTACATATACTACGTTCCGGTGTCCGCCATCTTGATGCACATACTACGGAAACGCCGGCAATTTTACGATTTTTTGAATGGGAATTTTTTGAAAACACCACTAAGTACGGGAAATATTCAAAAACATTTTCAATTTAATTATGTTCATTGGATATATATATGCATCATTTTTAAGAATGTTGTTGTTTCTGAGAAAAAGTGCTTTTCACAGCGATTTAAGAAGGAAGGAAATGCTGAATGGTTAAAATTACTGCTTACTCTTTTCAAATTACCTCCGAGTCCTATGCGACCCGAAATTTCTGTTTTCTTTCAATGCATGAGAACAATTTTATAGGACTTTCGTCTTTCGTATATCAATATTTGAACGCAATGCTCATATACTTGACCAACCATTTTCGTTTAACTTGTTTCGCACTTCATCAGCCACCGACGGTTGAACAAATACGTATCTTTTCTATAAAACGTTGCAATGAACTGAAACAATATGTATCAATTAGTATCCATTGCATTGTTTTGAATTTCAGTAAATCCTAAAAATAAAAATAATTGAATATATAGAATGAAAAATTCGACCATAACATGAGCTTGAATAAAATTTGAGATTGCAATAGTTTACAAACCGTACATATGAAAAATCACAAATATTAGAGTCTAATTAGATTGTCTGCGTGCATTAAAATAGCGCGTGTTCAACAAATTCTAAATATATCATGAGGTAAATCAATGTTCTAGCGCGATTACATACATCTAGCTAAAATAGTTAAATGTAGCATCTTTAACTAATCACAACATTCCTTTTGCTCGAGGCGAATTATGTTTTTAGGTATCTGATCATATTTTGGAGCATACGTTTGGCAACTATAGCCGCTATACGCCTTTAAATAGGAAAGTGCAATTACACTTCGTCGGCACATTTATTTTAAAATTTTTCATTCAGTTTTATAGTATTTGTTAAAATGAGTAGTAGTCCAGCGGATAAGACCTCAAATATGATGAAATTGTGCACTTTTGTGACTATGTTCTACTTCTATAATCCACTGTAAAATACGCGTTGATTTAATTTAAATTTAGAAGTTTTAAATTAGAATATTTATAGATTGTAATTTATGATTTGTCCGGAAATAATTTTTTACTCAGTGTTTGCTAAAAACGAACTGAACTCAAGAATATTCAGTGACTTCTATGATTTATTTACTTTACAACGGTGTCATCGTGTTCCAATCGCTACGGAGTCAAATAATCGTTCTATTTTGCACGCTCTTTGCTGGTATAAATTAATCCCATTGAATACCACTCACGCATATTTTGGCAGCCAAAACATGTACTGGTATATAAAATCGGCAGATATGTTTTGTCAAATTTTGCTGGTTGCGTTCTGTGTTTTTATTACACTGTTTTCAGAAGGTATAGCATCAATATATCAAGATCAAGATGTGGCGGCGGGAAAGTGTGAAAGTAGAAGTAATGTTTTTTTTAATGTTTATAAATCTTGAAAAAATGTGATCTCTAATGTAGTTATGAATCTTGAAATAATAATAATAATAAAGTATATAGTAGTTTTGCTAACATTCTATTTAGTTGTAATTATCTTTTCTGTTTATCTCGGATTTCGATTTGTCTTGTTGTGCCAATTTTTCATTGTGAAGAAAATTGTGAAAATTAAAATATCGGTATTTTATGTTAAATGAAATGTGTTTGCCACATATTTACATTGGCTGAATATTTTCGGACATTTGTTTGTAAACAAATTAAGAATTAACTACAAATGAATAGACTACTCAATCTAATGAAGTATTATAATTATTAAAATTTAATCAACCATTCATGATCAAATTATTGTCAGCTTGTCAATCACCAAAAGACCCAGGTCCATGCAAAGCGTATATGCCTCGCTATTACTTCAATGGATTGGACCAAACTTGCAAAAAATTTATATACGGTGGATGTCTTGGAAATTCAAACAGATTCGGGTCTTTAATGGAATGTTATATCTATTGTCAACCAGGTTAGCATCATTACGAAGTTAAGGTAGTAGAAAATTTCGATTGTGTCAATTCATTGCAAATTTATACAATCTAGTCTATATAGTTAATATTGAAAATATTTTATCTGAACTGGGCCATACAAACTATTGCATTGTCATAGGCATATTCATTACGATTGAAATATATATTTTTAAAAAAATATTTACAGAATAAATCAATAAAACACCGCGATAGCGACAGTTTTATATTGCAGATTTGTTTTGCAATTACTGAATTTCAATAGCTTCGATAAGTTCATGCAATTTTCTATTCAGCGAAATGTTTCCAACCTAAACCATCCAGGCCATGCTCATACATTAGAAACAGATGGTACTATGACGCAAAAGAGTGCAAATGCAAACGAGCTTGGTGGTGGACCGAATGCGTTCCAAGTGAAAATAATTTCCTAACAGAATCTGACTGTTTGAATCAATGCTACTATCCTCTTAAACGGTGAGTACCTAAATTATTAGCAAATGATATTTTCAACTTTTCATATAAACGATATTCAACATCGTACTTTTGCCCAAATTAAACCTCAGGAAGTGTTTAGCCAATAAAGTTTCTTACCAGGCTATGCCAGGTAAGCGTTTTCATTCACATAAAATTTATGATAAAATGCAAAAAAGTATTAATAAATACATACTATATATAGAGATCATTAAATATATACGTTTTCACTTCGCTTTCATTTTGTAATATTATATTTCAGCCAAGAATCTGATGACAACAAAGATATCGGCATCGGCACATTTTTGAATGTTGGATTTTTTTAGCTTGAAGTTTATTCTTTAACAAAAGATCTTGTTAATAAAGTAATTAAATGTATGTACTTGCTTGATATAGAAATGAACACTCTGAAATACTTTCTATATAGATGACAATTATTGGCGCCTTAGAAATTTTGGGATATATAGCTCATACAAGTTGTAAAACAACCAGATAAACAACATATGACATACAAATTTAATTTCAGCAATATTATACAACAAATCGAAAACATCCAATGTCAATGTCCACGTATCGCCGCAGGTGACATGATGAGTACGTCAATATGAGCTGTACATGTTTGTTGTAACGACATGCCAATAAATGAATATACGCAGCCAACTTGATTACTTTGCGTTTGAAAGCTTGGAAGCTTCAACTTATGTCATTGGATTTTTCCCATACATGGCACACAATCATACATACATATACAAAATCGATTGCCTATGCATGTAAATCATCACAGTGACTGTCTATATACAAATGAGTTGGTTATGTATGCGTCTTTTATCTGTATATATAGCTACGACACGTAACCGACTCTAATCCTTCCATGGGCTGATAGAATTATTGGACACGAAATAGAAGTATGGATCGTTTTGCAATTATGTTGTTGTTGCTGTTGATCATTTTGTTAATAAACCCTTTCTTCTCATTGTGTTGGGTTTGATATTCGCTTTTTTCATTAACACTAGACCAATGAACCTTTCCCAGACCTTTGACCCCCGAAAAATTCCTTCTATACTTAATCATTGCAAAATTCGGGTCTATTTTAAGCGTGCTTTTGCGAGTTGGCGCCTGTGAAATTGGGTATGTGTTTCAAACCATCATTATGATTCATCGCATACAACAACCTGTTTTTTAAAAGTACCGTTAAAGAATTTTAGCCTAGTCTATCACAGCTATTTCTACACTAATTTTTATTACTGCAATTAAATTAGAACTCCTAGGAAGTCCATTGAATTATCTGATTTACATTTAAGTTTCCAAAACACAACTGAAAACTAACGAATAGAGTTCAAAAATGCGAAAACGATGTAATGTTTACGACCACGCTTGAAAATCTGTCTGAGTGCGAATGGTGTCTGAGCGGATGCGAAAAGGGAGCATTGTTACGTTACTTTTTGCAATTTGCTGAATGACCAATGTCAGGAAGTAAACAAGGAAGTCGATGCTCGGGGAAAGGTCCATTGCTTTAAATTATTCAGTGGTTAAAGACTATATTTTTTGCTAGAAGCGTATTACTTTTATTTATTTCTAAATTTTCTAATATTTTTTAATATTTACTATTCTTGGGAACACGGTTTTTAATCCGACAAGCGTGACAGCTTTCTTGGGCTTTGGTTGCGCAAAATCTTGTTTCGGTACCGGTGACGCCCAGTAAGCCTATATCAGGCTGTAGGTAAGTTACTGTAAAAGGTAAAGTACTTTAAATTAATTAATACTACTACATTTGTGAGTCGAATGATTTAGCAATCCACGTTGCCAATCATTGTCACAAGACCTGATAAAGCTATAGCATACCGTAAGTGCCTAGCATATCAAATTCTTGGTCGTGAAATTTGTTTCATTAAGAAGTACCATCGAATTGCTTAACTTCGAACAGAGATTTGAAACTGGCTAATTCAGTAATTGCCAATTTCTGGCAAATATGGCATATTTTGACTAAAAAGCGCAGTATGCCGGTATTGATAATGTCAATCACTATATTTTTAAATCTATTCGATAATTATCGAACTGCTATTATAATAGTACCATCGAATTGTCCAACTTCCTTCTATTTTCATTGGTTAAAGATTGTTTCGCTAGAAGGATCTTACTTTTATTTGTTTCTAAATTTTCTGTGATATCTGATATTTCATCTAAAATGCACTGTTCAATTTTTAATTAGGGGAACACGTTTTATGCCATCGTGACGGCCGTCTTCCACATTTTTACGACATCGTCACAGCTGGTTAGGTTGGGAAAAACAGGTCTACTGTGACAGATTGCATACGCGTACTACAGCGTTCTGGACTTCGTGTCAATATATTTGAGCATCGCTCTCGTGTTTGTATAAATATTTGACTTATATTTGAAACGGTCTGAACTGGCATAATGTGTTATTTGTTATAAACATACCGGTAATTTACGAGGGTTTCACTTTTAGGGTAATTTCGAGGGTTATACTTTTAATCAGCATCGCTGAAATAATTTGTACTTGATGGTCCCATAATTTACCTTAAACTATTTTAAACTGCTTTCCTGCTGCTAAATGTATGATCAAATTCCCCCAAGTGGGAACTGGAATATTGAGAGCTTTGCTACCTATCTGAATGGTATTTTTCGATCGAATTAAAATATCATCTTTTTCTTTGTATATTAAAATATCTTCAATGCATATATAAACTTTAATTTCATACTTATTACATGTTATTACAAATTATCTGATTCTATATTATATATGTATCTATATTTATCATGTAGTCAAATAATTTTACATCATATTAAATCTGAGTGGTTAAAAACACGAACTTGCATTGAAAACTTTTTATTTATTGCCCCATCTTAAATAATAACACAAAAGAATAGCTTGTGAATGAATTTTATTCTTTATAATACAAATATCTCAAGTGTAGATGATATATAAATATTAGTATAGAGAATTACAATATTGTTAAGTATAACACCTGATAATATTGCGAAACAGTGGGCACGTTCGTCAAAAACCATTTGTGCCGTTTTAAAACAGTGAATTTTTATTTGAAATGATTGAATCTCAAATGATATACCAATAATTACATTTTGAAACTAATAATATATTACAGTACAATAGAAAAGTAAAAGTATATGGTAAATATTAAAATCATTGGTAAATATTAAATAGTTGAATAAATAAATAAATAAATACATGTACTGGTTTGTTAATACGATAACATAAATACTAATTTTTATACAAATTTAACTTAAATAAATATAAAACAAATCACGATTCAGTTGATATAAATATTATTTTCCAAAAAACAGTGAAGTGATTATCTTTATTTTCTATGCATTTCAATCCATTCCCGGTACTCAGAAACCTATAGTAAAAAAGGAAAATTGAATTATATGCAAGTAAAAAATGAATTTATATCTCTCAAACTTATCATTTTGTTAATTTATTCAACGTATTTGGTACTATGAAATAACTTGAGGTTCTTATTTACCTGAGTGTATACACCAGGTAGATTTTCTTGTCCACATGGACTTGGTCCATATGAGGTTATTCCGTGTAGAATATATTTTCCAGTATCATCACGACATAAAAGTGGCGCACCGCCGTCACCCTGAATAGATATTACAATGGAAATATTCAAAAATGATTTTAGCATCAGGAGTATGACGTATTTGAATCAATACGCAATTAGTGGCATTTGCTGGAAAGCTGGTAAAATTGCTTTTTGGTGGCAATTTTTATTGCCTATATTCAATGAAAATCATCAAAACAGGTTGTCAAAACACAATCCAAAATCTTGCACTTACGTAACAAGAATCTTCGCCGGCGATTCCTCCAGCACAAAATTTACGCGAATTTTCATGAATCATTCTGTTTGCGTACTCACTGGCGTTCTTCCCGCCAGTAATCGAAGTGCAAAGCAAACGCGGTAAAATAGGAACTTGCAATTCATGAATGATGTTGGTTTCCGGCCAGATTTGTTCTATAAAAATAAATAAACAAACTTTATCACAATGAATCAATGCATAATGCTGCACGTCATTTCATTCGTATTTAGTTAAACGATAGATGACAGAATCAACCTCTTTACTTTAATTTTAGAGTCACACCCAATCATAAATAAAATTGCCAGATAAAAGTACGAAATTTTTGCATGCGCACGACCACAGCGTAGGCCATGTATTAAAATACCTAATTAAACAGTAAATTTAATAAAAATTAAAGTATTTGGTAAGTAAACAGTAAAACCATTTGGATACAAATATTATAGAAACTACCAAAATAATAAAATAAGTCGGTTATGAATGAACTCGTCATCACCTGTTGTTTAATTGAATAGTATTAAACGTAATATTTTGCTTAGATTTTATTAATAGGTGAGGAATTTGTGATTAATGACGAAACATGTGCTTTACACAATCACTAAAATACCTGATTGTTTCATAGCAAGTACAGTGCACTGTTTTCCTGCTTGAGATTCAGAATAAAATGCCAAATCTGTTTCATCAATTTGAAGTCCTTGAGGCGGTAAACAAGCTGGTCGGACGTTCTCGGAGAAAATGACACGGTTTTTTAGCTGTATACAAATGTGAAAAATATTAGATATTCAAGAAGTTTGTTATAGAATAAATATACAATAAATATTTTAATTATCTTTGGTTTATTATCAACTTTTATACAACGTTCGGTAGTATTTCATTTATTTTTTTTTCGGAAACGAGTACAAAATTGTTTTTATATTATTTGTCATTGAATAAATTATCACGAGTTCCTGCCCATATTTCATTAACAATTTGGAAAAATTTGGAGGGTGATAAATCCATTTTATTTTTATTAATCACGTAATAAAGCTTTTACCTGTAATAAAGCAATGTCATTGTCAAGTGTTGTTTCATTGTAGTTGTCGTGTCGCAAAACACTAGAAACTCCGAGCAATTTTTCACTTTCAGAGTAGATAATCGTGGTATTGTCGCCCAAGATCAATCCGTACTTGTCTGGTTCATTGTAGCTTTAAAAATCGAAATACATATATATATGTTAATTCATGAAAAACCGATAAATTTGAAATTAAAAATAAAAACATTTTGCTGTAAAATTTCACTTTCTATCTTTAATTTTAGGTGCTATTTTGCACAACAAATCTTGTTCTAGAATTATTCTCAAAAATACTTGATTTGAATGAATTTACAATAATTAACGTGTTAATCTTACTATTGAATGCAATGCGCTGCCGTAACAATGTGTTGAGAATCAATCAAAGTCCCTCCACAAATTTGCGTAGACATTTTATCGTCACGTTTTTCATATACATACGCCATCCATGGCCATCTTCCCACACCTTTGTTATCTAATTTAAATTAAAAATTATTAGATTTAAATCATTATGACCTGTTAAATTAAATTTATAATGTTGTTGAACTTTACCTGATGGTCCTGTGGAGCGGAACTTTGCAGAAAAAAAATCTAAAAATAAAACTTTGAATTAAAACAAGTCATATTTGTTATAATATGTATAATATTACAACATATCTTACTCAAACCTATTTAATTTACAGTTAACATTTATTGGTTTTGAAATTTTGGCTCCAAGTGGTCATTAGTCGTGTCTGGATACAATTTATAAACATTTCTTCATTTCACAATTGAAAAAACAAAAAGAGATCTGTCCTACGAAGGATTTTATTTCCATCAAATGTATTTTCTCAGTGACAATACATTGTATTATTTCGATCTCATACATACCTTCATTTTTCACTCCACATTCTGTATATTCATTTAAAGCGACAATCATATCATCTGATAAATTATAATCAAAGTCTTCAGTGGGATGGCAAACAATTCCATTCAACAAAAATCCATACAGCATCAAATATACAACAGAAGTTTTTAGTTTTCTTAAAACAGCAACAGGCGAAGAGAACATCATAGTCATTGTCGTTGTAGTGTTTTGTTCAATATTTTCTATTTCTCAATTGCACAAATTATAATTGATTTAGCTGCACTGTTTGACCCTTTTATAGCGGAACAAAGAAGTTTCCCCCATACCAATGACGTATCGAATCTATATTTAGATTTTATTTTTAATTGAAAAATCAGAAATAGGACGAAAGCACAAGGAAGTGACACATGAGTATAACGGAAGTGTAAAATATATTGGGATCTATTATAATTTATTCAAAGTATTCTTGGACAAAACGAAATCTCTGGGGCGCTTGAATAATATTCGAACGGATGCTAGAAACGATGATGCAATTACGCATGATGTAACTATGTAGTACGAGTTATCTCTATTTTATAAAATTGTCTTCTAGTTTACCGAGTGACGTTTACTTCTTATTTAATTATTTTAAAAATGAATATGGTTACGTAGTTATAATATATAGTTACGTAGGATCTGTTGTCATTTGTTATTCTCGTTTAAATTTCTTTGACTTCAGCGAAACTGAATGGGGATTTTGGCAAAAATAAGCTCTATTAAATGATACAGAACAAAAATTTCGGTTTCTGGCGCAGTTTCAATATCGTTGTTATCTAGATTCAGATTAACTCGACAATTCAATTTTGTTTACTAATTTTGTTAATTACCGGATGTTATTAAAATAGTACACGGCGGAAGCACGCTTACTAAAACAATGTGGAATAGAAAGAAGTAATTAAGTAATTATATACCACATATGATATTTAACCGTGATTCGTATATATAAGAAATCAGGAAGTAACTCGTTGCACGGGATCAAGTAACTGCTATGCTTCTTGCATTCGCCGTATAAATACAAAAATTCAATTAACTGGGAAACGACTAGTTAACGCAAAGACAAAAAAGGAAATGAAGAAAAGTCTAATAAAAGTTTTAACTTAAATATAGAATAGGATTACAGCGTATAAATATACTATGACCTTTAATGATTTATAAGGGTCTATATCTTCAGAATGCACCACTTTCGTCTTAAGCATTTTTCGATTTAAAAATATCTGAAAGGGAATATTTCATTAAAAATGGAACATTACCTATAAAAATCAAGTTGCTACTTTAATCTAATAGTACATGAGCACATCAACGTTCTGCATAACTATATTTTCACATCCAGGATATATTTTTCGTCACAATACTTCTTTTGGATTTGGTCATATTCTACGTCATGAAAAACTAATAAGAAAATATATAAACATGCATATGAACACATACACGAAGCATACATCAATCCAATGAATGATATTAGTAACCGTCAAATAAAATACCCTCTTATATTAATTTATTTAAGGACAGGAAAGAGATAACGCGAAATACTAGCGCACGAAAGATGACTGGTAATTACTAATTTCCTTACTATTTTTGACCAAAACAATAAAGGCGTCATAACACAAAGCAAATTCTATCTCCTCGTTCTATATTATTTTAAATTTATTATTTGATAAATACCATTTTATAAAACATGAAAAAGAATCATTGAATTCGGATTAAAAGTCTTGTTCGTGTCTTCTTGTACGACCTGAAAATAATTGAATAATTGCAATCAGCTATTATTGAATTAAAATATTATTTTCATTAATTTTGGTATTACAAAAGTCTTTGTTTTAAAAATTCTTGATTAAAAAAATGTTAACAAATACTATTATATACAACTTTCAGCTTACCTGAAATCAGAAGCATAACTAGTCTCCGCATACTCAAATATTTCTTGATGAACCTAACTTTTCGCAATTTTTCTCGATGTAATACTTGCAATAGTTTTTATAACCAATATTTGACATTTGTTCTGATAATTTACAGTTTTAAAATACAAAAAATATCGCTCCGGAATAAAATTGAAGAAATTTAAAAATAAATTATAAATATACACTTTGGACATCGTGGACTTCATCACCACAATATTTGCGTAAACATTGGTCCTCACAGGAAACTTCCGAATACCAGAGTACACTGCTTATTTATGGTTTAGTTCATTGGTAAACTATAATAATATTGATAATATTATATAATAACTATTGTAATATTGGGTTTTTGAGATTAATCAAACATTATGGTTATACCGGGTGCTTCATACGCGATATCCATGTGGCGATAGCTGGTGCACAATACTAAGCCAGTGATAAGCCCCATCGAAATAATAATAATGTAGCGTTGGAAATTTTTGTAGGCTATCGGGGACTTATATCAATATTGAAACTAAGAAGGAAATTTAGTTCTGCACAATTTTTTTAGTAAATCGTGGAAACAGTGGTTGGTTGTTCGTTTCTGTGTGAATACACAACTATTCAGGATGATAAGGTATATGGATATAACAAAAATACCTACAGCAAGAAATAGAGAGCTCAGCAGGGACATCAAGCGACATAAATAAAGCATTGATAATGACGTCATAAATGCCATCTTACAATGATTAGCTCATGTTATGTATGACGGTATTCTATAAATATATGTGCTGATAAGATATTTATCAGAAAGATGTGTCATAAAATTAAGCCCGACAACAATGAATTGTAATCAGAAAGACGTACTTAAATCACTTACCTAAAGTTTAAGAATTGGGAGAGGCATCATACGATAATGGTCATCACATGTATATATTTTCAATAATGATTATTACGATATTCCTTTCTACATCCGTTATTGGACACATAGTGGACTTATGGGTCGTTTTGTTATTATGTTGTTTTTCTCTTTGATTACTGGATCAATTGCTTTGAAATTTCTAGTGGTTAAATATTGAATTTTTTGTTAGAATGATTTACTTTTACTTATTTCAAATATTTCAATGAGCTCTATGGGTGACGATTTTTCCGCCACTGATTAGGAAAGATGTTACAACAAAAAGCCGTACATAAAGTAATTTTGTCCCGCGACCCCCTGAAAAATACTGACCTAGCTAATGAATGAACTTCAACAATTGCAGATTTCGCACGTTCAAGTTCATCACGTTCTCGTCGTGAACGTGAAGGTTCATATGTCGACATTGTCTCGATAATTTAGAATATGTTGACGCAAAACACATGATTGATTTGTCTGTATGCCATTGAATAAATGTTTCTAAAGGTAGCAATTTGAATACGCAGGCTTGTCCATGAGACATATTTTTCTGTCCCATTCCCATCCCATCCCAAAGCAATTTTGCCTGTCCCGTCCCATCCCATGGGATTCCCATTTGAATACAATTAAAAAAAAAATGTTAAATTTAAGTTTAGCGTCTACTAAATAGGGCTATAGGACTATATTATTTATGTGTCTGTCAATCAGCAATCTTCACGAAGTATATCGTTAATGCTGAATATATTTTGCACCTCATAACTAACAAGACAGCTATGCTCAAAATATGGACACGAAATCCATAACGAAATGTTTTACTATCATTTCATCGAAAATCATACAGTTTTCGTGTCCTACGTGTCCCATGGAAAATACAAATGTGTGCTGTTTCATCCCATCCCACCCCATATGGTACGTTTTCCATGGGCAAGCCTGTGAATACGGCTTTACACCAATCGGCGGCATAATAGAGGAACATCAAAATTACATAGTACAGTTATTATTGAAAAAAAAAATTGGTTTCACATTTTATCAAATTATTGATGTAATCGAGAAAAGTACAGATTATAATGTCATTTTGATGGAATGATACTTGGATTTTTTACAATTACAAGACATTTGATAGGTTTTTTATAACATAGTATAGCTTAAACACTTGGTATGTCTTTTGATTTTGTGATATAGTTTTTTAGAAGGATCTATAGCTAAGGAATGAACTTGAACAATTGTAGGTCTTGCACGCTAAAGTTCATCACGTTCTCGACGTGAACGTAAGGGTTCATATGTTGACACTGTCTGGATAATTTAGAAGATGTTGACACGAAACAAAAAATTGATTTGTCTGTATTCCTTTGAAAAAAATTTCAAAATGTAGAATTTTGAATACGGCTTTGCATCAATCGGCAGCCTAATAGATGAACATCGAAATTACATAGTACAGTTCTTAATTGAAAAAAAAAAAATCATTATCAATTGTACTTTCAATATTTAATAAAAAAAAAAGTGTTGCACTCTACCCTTCCAAAATCAGATCTTTTTGATCTTTTCAGGATAATATCAATTTTGAAACTAAGAAGGAAATTTGGTTATGCACAATTTTTGTTTAGTAAATCGTGACAGGGGGTATGGTTGTTTGTTTGTGGCTGAACACACAAAGTTCATTATGAATATAACATAGAAATCATAAATCATAGCAGTGGGGATCATGCAGTACAGCAAGCAATAGAGAGAGCTCAGCAAGGACTTCAAGCGACATAAATAAAGCATCAATATTGACGGCATAGGTACCATCTTCAACGATTAGGACTGTTTTTCAGCATAAATGTTTGTACGTGAAACAGGTATCACATACAGTTAAATATATTTGCTGAGAATATATTTATCAAACATATGTGTTATAAAATTATGCCCGACGACAATAAATAGAAATCAGAAAAGCATAATTTTATCAGAGTTTAAGAATTGGGTTAGACATCATTCGATATCGCTCAACACATATTTTTAATAGTGATTATTACGATTTTTGTTTGTATACATCTGTTATTTAATTTATAGCTTCATGCGACTTATGAAAAAATATGGTGTGAAACAAGAATCGGTTTGCATTTGTTCAAGTTCAACAAAACAATTGGTTTTACGGTTTATTAAAATATTGATATAATCGAGAAAAGTATAGAGTATAATGTCGTTTTGAAGGAATGATAGTTAGAGTTTCTTGATCCACAGAAAATGCAGAAAATGAGTTGTTTTACAATTACAAGGCATTTGATAAGTGTTTTAAACTTTTAATATAATATGTCTTTCTACTTTTTAAGATAGTTTTTTTTAGGAGGATCTAGCTCAGTGGTTACCAATCTTTTCCCCTCGCGACCGCCTTGGATATTTTCCAACATGCGCGCCCCTCTTCATGATATATGTAGAATTTAGATCAGTATATCCTACATAAGGATAAGCTTTAACGTGTTTTCTTCTGAATAGTTATCTTGAATCAAGTCAAATACTATCAATTATTTAATTATCCCGTTATCCCCAAATGAAATTTTCTATACAGGTAATTATCTTTGAGTGCACCATCACTACCATTTATTTGGTACCGGTATTGGTCAAAATCGGTCTGGCCGGTATCGGAATATACGGTAATGGAAATGCGTAACTCGTACTTTCATGTTACTCATTTCAAAATAAGTTTGTTTTTTGTAGACTTTAAATATCCAGATTACCAATTAGTTCGACATTAGAAGATGAACACGCGGGCCCCTGAAGTCTCGAAATTTACAGACAACACTCGAAATCAGAAAGGAAAATCCAAGAACATATTAGATGACATTTTGAAGCTGCCACGGCTACAAAAATTTATTGCCGTGACCGCAAGTTTCTCGTCAAATAAATATCCAACACATAGGTGGTAAAACTATACACTAATGATAACGCTTCCCAATCGGGGCAGGATTCCGCACAAGAGAGGAATTTTGCTTTTTTATATCAGAAGTACCTCGATTTGAGTACATATTG